TGCTTGCCAGGGAAGTGCTTATTCCACTGAGCCATCTCCCCGGCCCCAAAAAAGTTAATTTTGCATTGAATTACAAAATAAATGATTGATATAAATTCCCCTCCCAGAGTGTGAGGGGGTATATCTAGGATTCATAATAAATCAATAATATTGATACAAATTTTAAAAGAAAACTTATCAAAAAAATGCAGCAATTAGGAGTCAGGCATTGATAATACATGTCTATAATACCCATACTCTGAACTACCCTTTTTTTTGTGGAACCAGGGATTGAACTCAGGCCCTTGCGCTTGCCAGGGAAGCGCTTATTCCACTGAGCCATCTCCTCGGCCCCTAATACCCACACTCTGAGGGGTTGAGGCAGGAGGCAGGAGGAAGAAAAGTTCAACTTAGCTAGACTCTATCTCAGAATAAAGAATAAAAAGAAATGGGGGTGTACTTCAGTGCAAAGGCCCTGGGTTCAATCTCAATACCAGGACAACAAATAAATACTCACTAGCACTAGAATCTTGGTGTTAAAGAAATGAAACCTCTTTTCTTCAGACTCCCTCCAAAACAAACAAAAAAAAAAAAAAAAAACCCACCCTCTAGACCATCCCAACAAATCACTATTGCAATGACATTCAATGCTTTGCAATAGAATATACAGCTTTCTTTTAAAATTTAGATCAATGTTATTGATTTTCATACTTTAAGAGTACTATCCAGCATATGCTCAAATTATAAACTGTAATTTAAATGAAATTTTCCTAAAAGTGATTCAGTTATTTGCAGAAAATTACTGAGAATTATCACCAGCAATTCCTTGCTTCATTTCTCAGTAGAAATGACGATCTAAGCAATCACTGCTATCATCATCTGCGATAAAGGCTGAGGCTATGGCTCTGGGCTGGGGGTGAGGTGGGTACAGTGCTTATCGGGCACGTGTAAGGCCCTGGGTTTGAACCCCAGTATGCTCCCTCCCTCCCACACACAGAAAAAGAATCATATGCTTTGCAACACAGCTATAATCTAAAAATCCTGACGTTTTCCAGGTACAGTGTGGCACATACCTGTAACCCTAGCTGCTCAGAAAGCCGAGGCAGGAGGATCACAAGTTTGAGGCCAGCCTGGGAAACCTAACAAGACACTGTCTCCAAACTAATAAAAAGGTCAGGGGATTTACCTGAGTGACAGACTGCTTGCCTACCATGAGTGGAGGCCCTGGGCTCAACCCACGGCATGGATTTCTTATGCAAGTTTATCATAAAAGCCACAAATATATGCCCCCAAATTAGAAGAAAATAGAATTATCTGCCATCAGAGGGGAAAAGCCTTTTATCCATGAAATGATGTGTGTGTGTGTGTGTGTGTGTGTGTGTGTGTGTGTGTATTACAGTTAACAGATTTTTTTTTTTGCAGAACCAGGGATTGAACTCAGGCCCTTGCGCTTGCCAAGGAAGCGCTTATTCCACTGAGCCATCTCCCCAGCCCCTAACAGTTAACAGATTTTATGCAATAAATCTTTAAATTTCTTGTTTTGCTTGTTTTAAGGTATTTGGTACGGGGTCTCACTACACAGCTCACACTCCTAGTGATTCTCCTGTTTTCAGCCTCCCCAGTGCTGTAATTACAGGCATGCGCCCAGACTTGGGGGCTAGCATGGCACTCCCGGGGGCAGGGTTGGTGTGGCACATGGAGCCAGGGATTGAACCCAGATCTTTGCATTTGCCTGGCAGGCACTTAGACCTCTGAGCTATCTCACTGGCCCCAAATCTTTAAATTTCTATAGATTAAAAATTTTATAAAGCTATAAGCAATTTTAAAACAAGTATTAAATGATTAGGCATATAAATAGTTCTCAAAGATAGATTTAGAACTATGTTTTTCAATAGCAAAAGAGCAAAATACAACAAATTGGCAAATACAAAAAGTAGATAAACATTGGGGAGATAAGGGTTTGGTGGTCTAAGCGCCTGCCTGGCAAGTGCAAGAACCCAGGTTTGATCCAGGAGAATGAATCACTATGAGTCTGAGCTGCATAGTAAGACCCTGTGCCAGAGAAAGAAAGAAACAGGGCTGGTGAGATGGCTCAGTGGTCTAAAGCACCTACTTAGAACAAGCTAAGCCAAGCAAAGCACAGGGACCACGGTTCAATCCCCCAGCACCACATGCCAGCCCGCCCTGG